ATATATATATATATATATATATATAATATATATATATATATATATGTGTGTGTGTGTGTGTGTGTGTGTGTGTGTGTGTGTGTGTGTGTGTGTGTGTGTGTGTGTGTGTGTGTGGTGTGTGTGTGTGTATTTTGTTTGTTTACATAACAAAAGAAAAGCTGTTTGAATGAGGGGGGGGGGAGGTGGAAGAGGGGATTAGGGAGGAGGGAAAAGGAGGTGGGGGAGCAGGGGAAGGGAGGAGAAGAAGGGAGATGGGAGTAGAAGGGGATTAAGGAGGAGAGGGAGAGAACCAGAATGATTATTTTTGGTTAGTCTCCTAAATATATACACCTCACAATGTGCGCAGACAATTACACATACATGTCTATTCCTAAAAAAAAAAAGTGGTAATATATGAAAACGTTACTTTGGTAAATAATCAAGAATCTTTTAAAAATAATATGTATTTACACTGTGTATAGAATTAGGATTTACGAAAACACATTACATATGAAATTGTGAATGGTAAGTACACAGAGGACATAAACAAAGAAAAATTGTGGTGATATAAAACAAAAATAAAGATACAGAAATACAAATGTACTTAGTCATGAGTAGCAAGTTAATACAAGTACACATTACCATTCTGCATCAGATGAGTCATGAAAGGGTTGAAACTCATGCCCACATTGGACACATTACAACAATTAAAATAATCGTCTAAAATATTTCAAGAAAAAAAAAACTTTTTTTTTTCTTTTTAAATGAATGAACAAACACATTACGAGTCCTAAATATAACCAAGATGACTGTTCTGTAGTCAGTGTGCAGAAGAAGAGGTTTTATACATACATGTTCTATAGTCATGAAGAAGGAGGTTTATACATACATTTCACGGAGAAAATGTGTTGTATGTGTTAGCTTTAGGATAGAAGACTCCTGTGTTTGTTGCTTGCACTGGATTCATCATTTATCGAAGGAAGCACGGGGAGCCTCGAACGACACCCTTTCTTGCAAACAATGATGAAAACAGTGGATGGTATTTCAAAACGATGACTTTGCTTGATTTTCAGAGAAAAGTACATATGAATATATATATATATATATATATATATATATATATATATATATATATATATATATATATAT